AACAAACAATGGGATGATTAGAGTGGGCATTTCTTGGGAAGACTGAAGCAGCCTGCTGGACGGCCAGGTACACCCTGCACAGGTCACAGAGGGAGCACTTCATCTTCTGGAGCACCACACCACCTCCCCTGAAACTTGCCTAAGTTACCAGGGATGGTGGGGCACGCCTGTAACCCAGCATTCGGAGGCCAAGGGAGAAGACTCACAAGTATAAGCCCAGGCCAGGGAGCACAGTGAGACCCTGACTTAAAAAATGAAAAAGGAGCCATAGCTCAGTGTTGGCGGCTATCACCTGACCCTGGTCCTTCACTGCTCCCCAGAGCCATTGCACAGGCACAGGCACAGGCACAGGACGCTGAGGCCTCGTCCATGCCTCACTCACAGGCACACTGCAGCAGTGAGAGTAGTCACACACCCTGACCCAGCCTTGCAGGTCATTCTGGCACACAGCGAGGGGGATGGCACTGCAGCTAGTCCAGAAGGAACAGGCTGACAAGAGGCCAACCTGACCAGACTGCTGCAGACAAGGTGGAGGAGTGGACCAACAAGGATGATAACTGGTATGCCAGAAATGCTGACCAAACCTACTGCCATCCACGCAGAAGGCCAGGGCACCCCAGACCAGCACCCCTCTCCTGTGACCCCAATCTGGACATTGTCTGGCTCAAGTTCCCCTTCCTAGGTGACCAGCAGCCAGAGGCAAGACCTCTCCCTGCATCTCTCCCAGGTCTCCAGCCTCTGTGTTTTGACTCAAAACAAAGCAACTTTTAAAAAACATTTCAGTTGAAACTTGCATAATTCTTTCAGTGGAGAAATCCTCCCTTGGCTTTCGCAATCCTTAGAAAGAGATGCATTATTGCCACAGAGTCCGGCCGGCTGCGGACACCTCCTGCCAGACAGCCAGGGAGCAGGCCGGAACCGCCGCCTCCTCCCTGGCCCTGCGGGCGGCGGCACAGCAGACCTGGGTTGGGGCACCCCCACGCCCGGCTCCGGGGCGGGGCTCGGCTCACACTTAACCCAGACTTCCTCACGCTCAACATCCTGTCTGCCCTTACGCGACATCTCAGACAGACATTACACAAACCGGCTGCAGGGGAGGTTGAGAAACAAGACGCCGCAGTCAATGACCTTACTCTCGGAGGAGCCACACTGCCCAAGGGATGCCAGGGAGGCAGCAGGGGACAGAGGCCAGGGCCACTCAGCAATCTTGCTGCCCTCAGAAGACAAGGGACCTAGCTCCACTGCCAGAGGGATTCCAGAGACTGGCAGGACAAAGAGAAGGGCTCACAGACTGCACTTGGAGAATGACCTACTGGAGGTTCTGCTCCCTGCAGAGGTGGACTGAGGTCACCCGGAGGAGCAGGCAGGGCCAGGGTGCACTTCACGCCTTGCACTCTCCTCTGTGGGGACACAGCTGGACCAGGATATGGCAGAACCCTGAAAGCATGTCCAGCCACCGTTCACCTTTTTAGAAGACCTCGCTGGCCTTTGTTCTGGAGCCCCTGACCTGCTGACCAGTTCCCTGTCCAGGAGCTTGACCCTTTAGCACAAATAGTTCCCTAACTTCTCTACCAAGCACCTAAAGAAGTCACCACTGAGCCTCAAGAAAGCTTGGCGGGAAACACTGCAGTGAACACTCTCAAAGAAAACTGAGGGACCAGGCAAAGTTGACTCCCCACCCCGGAAACACCACCCAAATCCAGGGCAGCCAGGTGAGTACAGCCCCAGGTGGCACACACAGCAGCAAGAGGCAAGGCAGTCGCTGCTCCCGTGCCGTGCCATGCTTCCCACCTCAGCCCAAGAGCAAGGCAGGACTCACTCTACGAGGGCTCCTAGTCCAGCACCCGCACCCCAAGCCAGCCCCTGGCACCGCAGGGCGGCAGCTGCCCCCAGCCCACGTCAGGACTCAGTGCTAAGGCCGACCACTCAGCCGGGTACCTGCCTGCACTGCGGTCAGTAAAGTCTTCAAAGAACACAGATAAAAACTCCACAGTACGGTACCCAGAATATTCGTGTCAAGTCTCCCACAGAAACAACAGCAACCCCGACGGAGAGCTTGCACCTAAGCACTGGGCCATGAGACAGGTGTGGCCAGTGGGGCCAAGCCAGACTGCCAACTATGCCAGGACCACAGGGAGGCACCGTGGACCTGGGCACTGGCCTGGGGCAGCAGCAAGACCTCCTGCAGGACGGAGCAGTATCCCTGGCGGCAGGCCCAGCGGCACCTCACACCACTGCTGTCCATGTCTCTCGTGGACTGACAACAATCTGTGCTGACAAGAGAAACAGCACATGGGATCCAGTGGTTCTGAGACAGCCCGAGACGAAGAGGAAACAGGGCAGGAGGTCACCAGCAGGGAAGACGGGAAGACGCACAACTCCCCTCTGTTTCCCCCCAGCCTGCAACATCGCAGCCACGGCGGTTCCTCAAGTGACTCACTGAGCACTGGACAGCCTGAATGTCCTTCCCAATCACACCTGTAGGAAGCCGGGCCTGGTGGCCCCCAGACAACACACATCCTCTACTCCCACGACACTGGGGATACCACCAAGGAAGGCCAGCACCCTCCACACAGTCGTGGCACTGCTGCTGTGCCACAGTCTGAGGGGCAGCCATCTATCTGCACACGGGGTGTTCAGGCTCAAGGCTGGAACCCCAGCCCAACTCCCCCAAACCTAGAACACGACCCGAGCCCCGCCAGGCAAAGATAACCAGGGTATCAGAGACCCAGGAAAAGCACCCACCTCCCTGCTGTGGCTGCAGAGAAGGGCAGGAGACCCTGCTGCCACCACAGACCCCTGAGGCGTCCTGCTCAGGCTGCCGGAACACCAGCCCTGCGGAGTTCCAGCACACTCTTTGTTCCTCCTGCTCTCTCCTCAGATCAGAAATACTAAAGTAGGCTACAAAGGAAATGAAGAAATCAAAACACATTCTGTGAATCTGTGGCAAGAGGGAGTGGGAGGAGCCACAGGCAGCAGCAGTGAGATGTCCAGCCACTTCTCCTGGGGCCACCAGGGGCCCCACCCACCTGGCCTGGCAGCGCTTCCCACACAACACCTGTGAGTGCGCACAGGCGAGCACGTGGCCACTGCAGGGGGACGCACAGGAGATGAGTAGCCATCACCCCCAAATGCAGGGGGGCCCTGGGTAAGAGCAGAGCCAGACCACACAGGGTGGAACGCCCCACGAGGGCAGAGAGCCTTCCAGTCCCACCTCAGGAAAGCACAGAGAACGTGTCAAGAGGACAGGCCTCCCAGACCAAAGCTGCCACTGCTGGGCAGGGCTGCTGCTCAGGCCTTTCACACCTTCATGGCACTCGGGGACTCTGGGCACTGACCCTCAAAGAGCACAGCGCCAGGGGACTTGCCAGCACAACCTGAGCAGCGGAACCTGTCTCACCTCACCCTGTGACAGGGCTCAGGGCACCATCTGGTCTTCTAAATGGGCAGGGCCCAGCCTGCCTTGAGCCACGGGACACTCATACCCAGGCCGCAGGCCTGCAAGTGGGGAGGGAAAAGACAGCAGCAGTCCTGCTGAGCAGCACCTGGGACAAAAGGACCCTGGAAAGGCCCAGCGGAGAGCCCACAACACACACCTGACCCAGGATCAACAAAAACAAACCCAGACACACCCTGCTCAGCCAGCAGCCTCACACCAGCTCTGGAAATGAGCGAGCGGGCCCGGCCAGTCAGCCAGTCCAGGGTCTGCTGGGGAAAGCCCAATCCTGTGCAAGTGGACCAAGCCACAAGGACCTGCAGGCACGGGCCACCAGTCCGCAGGGCTCCTCTGTAGCCTCATCCCAAGGGGCTGTGGGCAGCTGCACCTGGGGGCTGGCCTGGCCGGCGCAGAGATGCCACACCACACACAGGCGCACATGCTCGTGCAAAGCCCCCCCCCAGCCGAGCCAAGGCGAGGCGACAGTCCTTTTCACACCCCCTCCCCCACAGCTCTGACACTCCGCTGGAGGGGCGCCCAGAGAAAACCGGGCTGCAGCATCTATTCACAGATTTAGAAAAAAGTTTGATGCCATAGCTGAATTAATTAGGCCTCCCAAGAATAGCTAAGCCAATGCAGCATTCTGTGTGTGCAGTTTAATAAGCCTGGGTATTTGAAAGAAAAGTTACAAACATTTGGGATGTATGCAATAAATTTCCTGTGAACCCCAGGGAACAATTTCCTCATCTAGTGACCCCAAAGATGCCCAAGAGAGATACCACAGTCTCAATGCACACAACAACGCCTGGACAGCAACTCTCCATACCCAGCCCTGCTGCCTGGTGGAGAGGGACAGAAGGAAATGGGTGAGCCCAAAGCAAATCGCCGACCATCAGCAAGTCCAACACTTGGGACAGAGGGCCCCTGACCAGGCCACACAGCCCTTATCACCCCACATGGGGGACACTGGGAATGACTCCCTGTAGGACAAGTAGTCTGGAGAACACAGGACTGGAGTCTCCAAGTCCCAACCCCTGCCACTGCACCCCGGATACTTTTGTGTCCGTGTTCTAAAACTTCAAGGCACCAAACAGGAAAGTTGGCACGCCGAAGCACGCTGTCTGCTGGGGACCAAGCCAGGCTCGACAGGGGCCCTTTGGAAAGCTGGCCCTGAGGCTCGTCTGGGTCCAGCTGTCCTAACTTCCTGGAGTTTGGGGTTGGCCTCTCCCTGAGCAGAGGGAGTCCAACAGGCCCAGCGTTCTGGGCAGTGGACACAGGGCTCAGGAGGGCCTTTCCACGTACCAGGCCTGCACCCCACACCCACACTCTACTTAGGATCAGCCTGGGGACGATGAGCCCATCAGGCAGGACATTTCCCTCTCCCATGCATCAGAGCCCTATCGACAGGGACCCCAAGCAGTCATCAGCACAACAAAACAAGCCCCTGGAACGTGGGGTCAGGCAGAAGCCCTGCTTCCAGCTCTGAATGACCAGAGCCCAGCCATGCAGAAGACCCTACCACCGCCAGTGCAGCCTCCAGGCCCAGAGGCCTGGGGACACTCACCCGGGGCACCCGTCGCTTGTACTTGTTGCCGTAGTCAAACTTCTCCTTCACGTCGTCCAGGCAACGGCCAAGGCGGGCCTGCTCCTCCTTGCCCGTGTAGTCCTGGCTCAGCAGGATGTAGGCCCGCCAGTTGGCTGAGTCGAAACCCCAGTGGCAGGTCCGGTTCTCCAAGGCTTTGTGCGAGTGCACCACGAACTTGTGCGGCGGGTACATGAGGCGGCAATCGAGGCACTGGATACAGGCTGCGCTGGGGCTGCTGTACAGCTCGGGCACCAGCAGCCCCTTGCACTTGCCGAAGCACTCGTGGTACACGCGAACGCTGCGTTCGCTGAGCTCCAGGCCCAGAGCCAGGCTGGCGGCCAGCTCCTTCTTGCAGGGCGGAGGGTAGGCGCCGCCGTAGAGCAGCGCGTTGCACAGGCGCTCCGCGTCCGTCTTGGTGATGAGCCCGCATGAGGGCGCGGAGAAGGGAAGGATGCCCATGACTTTGAGGATCTCCAGCTGGTCGGCCGTGCAGCGCGAGCAGTAAATGTGCAGCTCGTCGCACACCGAGTTGATCTGCTGCAGCGAGAAGTCGCGCAGCACCGAGTTGAGAATCTGCGGCAGGCACAGGCGCTTCTCACCGCCCACCACGAAGCACGAGATGGTCTCGCCCTCCAGCACTGTCTCGCAGCGCTCTGTGGAGCGGTCGGACGGCATGAAGAAGGGCCCGGGCAGCACCGGCGGCGGAGGCTGGATGGCGGGCAGGTGCAGCACGGGCGGCGGCTCGGTGGTCGCAGGCACCGGCGCAGGCACTGAGGCCGCGCCCGCATCCTTGGCGCTCTCCTTCTTGTAGGCCTCTTGCGCCCAGCGCGCCGAGAAGGCAGCCGGGCCACCCAGGGAGCTCATGGAGCTCAGGTGAAACTGCTCCAGGGTCTTCTGCAGCCCCGGGTGAGGCTGAAAGCCGCCGCGCCCGCCCGCCGCCGCCTCCATGGCGCGATCGGGCTCTCCGGGCCGCTCCCGCTCCCGTGCGCCCGGGCCCCCGCGGCCCCCGCCGCCGCCCCGCGCGCCCCGGCGGCGCCCGCGGCCCCGACCCCGGCCGCCCCCCGCCGCCGGCTCCCGGCCGATCACGGCCGCGGCCTCGGCCTCGCCCGGGGGCGCGAAGGCGAAGGCGGGCGGGGCGAAGGGGTCCCGCCGCTGGAGCCCGCCGCCGCCCGGGCCCGGCGCCACATCCACGCGCCCCGAGCCGCGCCCGCCGCCGCCCGGGCCCCCCGCGCGCCCCCCGCGCGACCCCCGGGCTCTAGGCGCGGGGCATGCCCCGGCGCGCGCCGCCAACGCCAACGCCAACGCTCGCGGGCCCGGGGCTCGCGGGGGGCGCGCGGGCAGGTGCCGGCGCCGCGAGGCGCGAATCGCCGCGGCGGCCGAGGCCGAGGGGCCCGGGAGGAGCGGGGACGCGGGCGCGGGGCCCGCCGGGCCGTCCTCGCGCGGCGCGCCGCCGCCGCCCCGCTCCTCCCACCGCGCGGCGCCCGCCCGGCTCGTCCCGGCGGCGCTGGCCGGCCGCGTCGCGCCCGCGCCGGCCCCTGGCCGCCTGGCCGTCCGGCCGGCCGCCCCCCGGCTCCCGTCCGCCCGCCGGCCCGCGCGCGCGGCTTCCGGGGCGACGGAGGCGCTTCTGGCCCGCAGCTTCAGAGCGCGGCGGCGGCGCGGGGCTCGGCGCGTTCGGCGAACATCCTCCCGGCGGCTCGCTCCGGCTCGGACTGAGCGCCCGGCGCTTAGCTCACGCCGCCGCGCGCTGCCCCGCCTCGCGCCGCCGCCCCGCCCCGCGTCGGCCCCGCCCCCCGCGCTGTTTGTTGCCGTGCGTCCGCCTCAGCCCGAGCGCCGGCCAAGAATGTGACCCGCTCTGGGCCGGCTCTTCCAGGAACGCGCGCGCTCCCCTGCCCGGCCTGACTCGCTCGGCCGCACTCGGCTCCGCCCGGCCGAGATTCGGTCACGTTCGGCCCCGCCCGCCTGCGCCTCGGCTCTGTTCGACTCCGCTCGGGCCCGCACGCCACGAGCTCGGCCCCGCTCGGCCTCGTTCGTTCCAGTTCGGCGCCCCTCGGCCCCACCCACCGAAGGCCGCGGGAGGAGGCGGTGGCAGCGGCACCCGGGGCCCCCCTTCCGGCCGACGCCGCTTCCTGCGCGGCTGGGAAGGCGCCTGTCCTGCCGCCCCGGGGCCCCCAAACCCACATTTCGCCTGCCACAACCGCAGAACCTCCGAGGGGCGGCCAGGAGCCGGTCTGCGTGGCTGCCACTGCGCGTCACCTGGGCCCCCCGGCTCATGGAATCACCACGAGACACACCCCGGGCCCACACGCCTGCGACGTCACGAGTCATGCCCCATCGTGCGGGGACTTAGGGCAAGTCTCGTGGCGTCCCCGCAGGACGGGAATGTCCCAGGGTCCCGAGGACAGGGTCTCCCTAGAGCCTGGCCAGGGTTTCCATACCTCAGGGGTGCCACCCAATGCATGGGGCTCCACGCCCAGGGGCGCCACACAATGTCACCTGATAGAGACGCCTGCATGTGCTAAGGCTGCAGCAGGTGGGACGTCGAAGCATGACCTAGGAGCTCGGCCCATAGGGCCACCTGTGACCCTGTGCTCCCAGCCATGCAGCCTGTGGCCGTGCTGCCCACTGGCCCAGTGCAGGACCCTCTCCGCTCCCCGGGCAGGGGCTTGGAACCCACTACTGCCTAGCCCTGAACCACCCACTGGCAGCGGCAGACGGGCAGCGTCAGGAGTCGACCCTGGTGTGTGCCAGGCCAGGTTAAGGCATGATCCTTACTTACCTGCATGCTGGGGACTACTGCTTATGCGTATGTCAGTGAGCACCCAACTGTGCGCAGAATGAGAATGACCATGTCCCTCACACGTTGGCTGCAATGTGGGAGGTGGCTGGCCAGAAAGAGCCAGGAGGGAGGCTGCGATGTGGTGTGTGCAGCATTCAGCAGAGACCTGGGACAGCTCTGACCAAGCTCAAGCTGAAGCCAAGGGACCCTTTTCCCCACTGGCCTCTGAGCTGGAAGAATTCCATGTCCACTTCCGTCAGAGGACCTGTGCAGGTCACATTGAAGATCAGCTCTTGGTGGAGGCTGGAATAGCCCAAACCAGCACACTCCGGAGTCCCACACCTCCGGGGGCTGTCCCTGTGGCAGGCACAGGAGTCGGGAGGGTCACCACACCCAGGGCAGGACATGCTATTTGGTTCCATTCTAAAAATCAGCTCACTCTCCACGGTGGACATAAGGGCCTGCCCCAAGTCTCTGCCCTGGTCCTGTAGTCCCCTAGGGGAACCTCCTTGTCATCAAGATTCCTGTACCCTGTTCACCCCACTGAGCAGGCATCTCCACCATGAGGAAGCTCTGTGTGCTTATGTCAGAAAACTGGTAAAAGATTTCCTCAAACGGCATATTTTAAAAAACAAAGAAAGTTAGGCTTAGCGGACTCTACCTGTAATCCCCAATGCTCTGGAGTCTGAGGCAGGAGTATCAAAAGCTCAAAGCCACTTGGAACAATTTAGTGAGACCCTGTGTCAAAAAGAAAAGGGGCTGGGACTGAGGCTCAGCGACAGAACACCCCTGAGATTGATCCCAGTACAATTTTTGTTTTTTTTTGTTTTTTGTCTTTTTCATTTTTATTGGTACCGGGGATTGAACTCACGACCGCCTGCTTGAAAGGCAGGTACTTATGCCGCTGAGCTAAATCCCCAGCCCCCCCAGTACAATTTTTTAAAGAAGGAAACAGAGTTGGAGGTAGATTTTGGTTTGTTCATTTGTTTGTTACCAAGCATCAGACTCATCACCTCACGCTTGCCAGGCAGGTGCTTCTGCTGCTGAGCTAAATCCCTGGCCCATAGTTGGTTGGTTTTTTGATACATCTTTCTATATTAGCAAGATTGCTCAGGAACTCATATCTTCCTGCCTCAGTCTCCCATATGCTGGGATTGCAAGAATGCACTACCATACCAGCTCTGGAAGACAGTTTTATTGGCCTACATTTAGACCCAAAAAAGGTTAGTATTGCCTGGAGTGTCTTTCTTCCATCCAGATATGAATTCTGCACAGTTCAGCAAATTGTAATCCCAAGAAGGCCATCAAGCATGAGCCCAGGTGTCCAGTCAGGAGGAGCTCCTCCTGCCCTGAGCACACACCTTCGTGGGCACTGCCCACTCAGAGGCTTGGCCTGCTCTGGGCCTTGGGCTGTGCAAGCCCAGGCCAGGGCTAGCATTTTGGCCCCGGCACAATGGGAGCAGGTGAGAGGGCCGTGCCTGAGCAGGCATGCAGGAGGATGAAGGCCCCGGTCACAGGACAGTGTCAGGAGGGAGTGGGCAGGGCTGCAGGCATCCACAAGGCCTCCGGGTGGCCTCTAGAGCTGTTTCCATCCTCAACAGCCTCTGCAGCCTCCACTGCAGAGATGCTGGAGTTTCCAGGGCAGCACAGCCCAGTCTGTGGGCCAGGCAGCTGTGATAGGGCCCTGTATTATCCCACCCGTGAGCCTTCCTTTCCCCCAGGAACCCACTTGTGCTGCTAGGTGGGGGTGGATGCCCTATGCCACAGACATATCAGGAGTGGAGGTTGGGGAGCCTAACACACAGGCAGAGGCGGAGCCCACTGCCAGGCCTTCCTGGCTCTCCACTGCACCCTAACACACCACGGGCCTGGGCAGCTGCAGTGCACACACACACACGTCTGGCATACCATGCTGGCATTCGGAGACCCACCATGCTCCTGCCATTCTGCTGTGAGAAAACAACCACCAATCGGCAGACCTGCCTGGACAGGAGTGAGGTCATCCAGGGCCTGAGAAGCGGCAGGTGGCCGAGGCACTGACCTTGGATCGGAGGCCTCCAGCCCGAAGCCAGCAGTTGGGAGACAGGAGAGACGGCACCCCAGGACCAGAGTCAGGGCTTCCAGGGAGAGAGCACCTCACACTTTGGGGGAACACAGGCACCAGTTGGGCCATGCTCTGGGAGGCTCGGGCTGCCAGGCCAACAGACACCTGCTCATCATAACCAGCCTATGCCTCGCTGCACCCGATACTTGAGATGCGGAAGGGGAGCCCAGCTCTCCCTCACACTCTGCTGTTGAAAGCACTCGGTGACATTGTCAAGCTTTGGCCAGGCACTGCCCTACACACCTGGAATCCCAGCTACACCAGAGGCCAATTCCAGAGTCAGCAGGCCAGCTCAGTTCAGCCAGACCCCATCTCAAAGTGAAAACATCAGAGGGCTGAGGGTGACTTCAACCCCCTGCACCACCGAGAAAAGATTAAACACGAAGGAAAAATTATGCACCTAACTTGAAAAACACTTGCAAAGACTTTTGTCAGAGAGACCTTTAGAGATTTGCATGTAAGCAGGGTATCTCAGAGGTGCTGGTCAGGGTGTGAGGAGGGAGGAGGAAAGGGAACCCAACCCGGGAGTGAGACCTGACCCGGGAGCCTCTCACTCCCCTTGGGTACCCTCAGAGTGCAGCAGGGCTCAGCACCAGCCCCAAGGCCAAAGCGCTTCCCGGGCTGGGAGCTGATGCCACAGCGAGGTGGGGGTAAGGAAATGTCCAAAGAAGGGAAACCAGAGCAACTGACCAAGATCTCGTCTCGGAACCCGAAGGCTGGGTGTGACACTGAGGAGCAGAGCACCCGCCCAGCATGTGCGGCCTGGGTTCAGCCCAGCACGGGGCGGGGAGAGATGAGCCTGCAGTACTGGGTTGGCATTGTTGATCCCCGTGTGACCTCAGCATGCACAACACTGAGGCTGTGTGTCTACGCGAACATGTGTGTCACTGTCCCAAGTTCTGCCGCTGGAGGAGGGAAACCCCATAGCACCAAGTACACATGGACCCAGGCTTGAGCCTTCTTTCGCCCTTCCAGAGTGCCCTGGAGAAGTGGCTGAGCCCAGGGAGCCCAAGAGGAGGTGTGGGATGAGCCTGAGGAAGGGTCGTCATGTCCTGGGGCCCCAGAGAAGACAGGAGCCCGGGGCTCCAGGTCAGACGTGGAAGGGGAGGACACAGAGGGAGGGGCTCCATAGGTGGTATAATATTTACTAAAGTAAAAGCATGAGCGAGCTGAAAGCCAGACACAGACCACCTGCTCCATTTAATAACCTTTCCCCACAGCAAGGGTCATTTGTCACAAAGGGGAAAGTTCGTGTCCCCTTGGAGACTCTGGCAGCTGTCACCTTAACTGAGGTGGCCCATGGGCAGCTGGACAGTGGCGTCCCTGTTCCAGCTGAGGGCTGGCAGGCAGGCCCTGGTGTTGCTCCTGTGATTTCCCAGCCACAGAGGCACAGCCTACCCACCAGAGGGACCCCAGCCGAAGGGCCGGCCCTGCACGAACGCACACTAAATAGGCTGCGTAAAGCAGAGCTGCTATCCAAGCATTTTATCAGACACAGGACAGAAAGACTGGGACCTACAGCTGGGACCTACAGCTGACAGGAGTGTGGCAGCTTCCGGCCCCTGGGTGTGGGGGTTTAAGGCCAGCTCAGGGCAGAGTCCAGGCTGCAGGCCCTTCCTTACCTGGGATCTAGGACTGGGCTTCCGTCATGAACACAGCAAAGAAACTCACCAAAATTCACCACACTTTAGGGCAAGACAAAACACACTTTAAGTCACCAATTAAAGGAAGAATAAAAGGCAGGTATGGTGATATACACCTGTAATACCAGCTACTCAGGAGGCCGAGGCAGGGAGACTGATGATTTCTAGGCCAACCTGGGCAACTTAGACCCCATCCCAAAAGAAAAGATTTTTTTTAAACAGCTGGTAAGTAGAACTCAGTGGCAGAGTACACAGAATTTGTTTTTGTTTTGACTTTTGATTTTTGAGATAGGGTCTGACAATGTAGCCCAGACTGGCCTCAAGCTCTCGGCGACTCTCTTGCCTCGGCCTCCTGGGAGCTGGGATTACAGGTGTGCACCACCACACATTTTTTTGTTTGTTTGTTTGACTGCATGGTTTGCCTAGCATAGGTGAGGCCCTGGGGCCAAACCTCAGCACTGAAAAAAAAAAAAATTGGAAGAAATCGAAGTGGAAGTCACGAACAATTTTAAGCCAAATGATACGGAAACACTGTCAAAGTCTCCAGGTGTAGCTGACGTGGTAGTTGGATTTTACAGTCTTCAGTTCACATGCAAAAAACAAGGACGCAGTTTTTGCAGAGTAACGGAGTGACAGATGTGTCTTCCTCTTCGTGTGAACCTGCATTTTCTTGTCTCCTAAAGAAGCTGCTGCTGTCAACTTCTTGTTGCTCCTTTCTGGCTGCTCTGCCTGGGAGGTCCCCCACCCCACAGTGGACACCCTCTGAGTGTCACCCAGGCCCCACACCAGGCTACCTGCCCCGCAGTTCCAGCACATACCTGCTTCCCCTGGGGTCTCCTGGAGCTTCAGCAACTGGGAGCCACCCTGGGATCCAGCACCCCACAGGCATCCTAGACCCACCTCCGGGGTCAGCCAAAGGGACACACAGGCAGAGCTGAGCAGTGTCTGTCCACAAGCAGTCATGGACAGACCTCCCCACAGCCAGCTGGACATGGCCCCTCCAGCAGGGTCAGCCATAGGTGGCCTCCATTAGGCTGCAGGGCTGCACCCAGCTCCCACCCGGCCCTCTTTGGACAGCACCCCTGGGGGTACTCTGGGGAAGAAGGAAACGTGAGTGCATCTCCCTGCTCTGGGCTGCACAGCCACCAGCCCAGAAGCCTC